AAAAAAAAAAAAATAAAAAAGAGTATTGACACTATTATACGGGTGCTGGCTCGCAGTGGAGCGAGGCTGACGGCCGAGTGGCCCCAGCTCGGGCCGTGGTGTTGGGCGGGGGTGATGAGGGATTGTATTCCTGGAATAGGGAAGCAAGCCATTGCATGTCAGCTGTGCAGAGTGTGGTGCCATCAGAGAGGGGATGCCCTGGCCACGTCGCCCACGCCTCAGTGCAGTGAGTGTTCGTGTCATTGTATTAGCACGGCTAAGACATTGAGGCACGCGTCCTTCCTCAAGTGCGTATGCTAGGAATGGCAGAAAGAGAGGACGCCCGGGAATGAGCTCAAAGCAATGGGTCTTCTTCTTAGGAAGCTGGATAGGTGGGAAGAGCGCGAATTGAATGAGCCAGATGTACCATCAGAGCCAGAAGAGGAGGCAAATAGGAAAAGGAACGTACCATGTAGGCAGCGTGGGTTTGGGGTGTGGGGAGGCAGCGAACCAGGAAGTTTCTTTGCTGAAGATGAGACAGTTGAGCCATCTGTGCCAGAACAAGCAGGGGATTGCCAAACGTCAGCTTGGCCTGTGGGACTGAGTTGAGCAAAGTCTGGAGCAGCCTCCTGCCCGGTGTAAAAGGACTGTGCGCATCCAGGTTTGGTGCAGGTAAACGCAGGTCGGTGATTCCAAACCCTCTTCATTTTCAGAAAAGCCACCATTTTTAGTTTAGGTTGTATTTTGACGACGTTTTGATACAAACAACCCAAGAGCAGTTTGTTACCTCACATGCCACATGAAGGAGACTCAGAGGCAGGTAATTCGTCCACATTCAGTAGATGGGCAGTCCTGAGGACTCCTGGAATTCTCGCGTGTGCCCTCTCACCTACTCCTCTCCGGGTTGCAGATGGCTGCGCCGCAGCTCCCACACACGCCAGGACAGTGTAGCAGCAGAGGAAAGGATGGCGAGCATCGAGTCGCTGCCTTCTCATGCCTTTCCCCCTCTCCTCTTTATCAGAACAGTTTTCAGTTGTTCATTTAGAACTGAGCGTCACGGGGCTTTCGAGTCACTTGCCGATGTCTGTTGTCCTTTGAACATCACGGCCTGTGGTCCTGAGGAACATTTCAGCCTCCATGAATCCTATGCCCTTGCTTGGTGGAATGGCATGAGATTTACTTTCAGTCTTTTTTTTTTTTTCTTGAGACGGGAGTCTCCGCTCTGTCACCGAGGCTGGAGTGCGAGTGGCGCATCTCCGGCTCACTTGCAACGCTCTGTCTCCAGATTCAAGTGATCTCTTGCCTCAACTCCGATAGCGGGACTACAAGGCACACGCCAACACGCCCGCCAATTTTGTTTATATTTTAAGTAGCAGCAATGGGGCTCTCACCATATTGGCCAGGTATGGTCTCGATCTTCTGACCTTGTGATCCCACCAAGCCTGGCCTCCCAAAGTGCTGAATTACAGCGTGTCGAGCCGCTGCCCCAGCCTAGGTTTATTTTCAGTCTCTTTAGAGAATACTTGAATTTTTAGTTTTCAAAATCCATTTAAGTCCCTTTTTTTTTTTTTTTGAGACAGGATTTTGCTCTGTCCTTCAGGCTGGAGTGCAGTGGCACAATCATGGCTCACTGCAGCCTTAACTTCCTAGGCTGAAATGATCCTCCCACCTCAGCCTCCCAAGGTATCTGGGACTACAGGTGCACACCGCCATGCCCAGCCAATTTATTTTTATTTTTTGTTGAGACAGGGTCTCCCTATATTGCCCAGTTGCCCAAGCTGGTCTCAAACTCCTGGGTTCAAGGAATTCTCCCACCTTGGCCTCCCAAAGTGCTGGGATTATAGATGTGAGCCACCACACCTGGCCCTTTATTTCTTTTAATAGTTTCTGTTTCTCTCGTGGGATTTCCTATTTGTTTATTGAGTATGAGCAAACCTTCTTTTAACACCCTGGACGTAGCCATAATAGCTGCTTTGAAAATCCTTTTCTGTAATTCTAACATCTGGGTCATCTAAGTCATTACATGGAATGTTTAGTATGAAAGTGAATGCTTGTTTAGAATAAGTAGAGAAATCATCCCAAATACTTAGGCCTTGGGAGGTTCAAGTCCCTTTCCACTGAGCTCAGGATTTTTTCTTATAGCAATGCTTGTTCATTGCAACCTGACTTCGCTCCCCATCCTGGAGCACTCGCGGAGGCACATGCCGGTGAGGGACCCCGGAACCTGAGCTTAATTACCTTGATGGTTAACTGGCTTCTGGCATATAATAAACCTGTTTTCTGCTGAAGTAGCAAGCTCCTGTTTCTGTTGCCTGCGACTCAGAGCTCTGACTGCTCAAATAACCACCCTCAGGCCAGTCTCAGCAAAGGTGAGTGGAATGCCATTGTTCTTCCGCTGGGGTGGACCCGTTTTCCTTGAGCAACACCAGAACAAAACCAGAGTTCCCTTACCGAGGAAGAAGGGAGGCGTGGCTCTTGGATAGGCACCGCAGACTGCCACGGCCGGGATATAGATGTTTTATTTTTGTTGTTTTTTGTTTGTTTTGTGATGGAATTTCACTCTCATTGCCCAGGCTGGAGTGCAATGGCGTGATCTCGGCTCACTGCAGCCTTTGCCTCCCGGGTTC